TTACGAAACGCCAGGTTTTTTGAAAAGATATAAAATCCTTAGTCAATTACTCAGTGGATTCCTATGAGTGAGAGAGCAGAAAGACTTAAATCCAGGGATCATAGATCTTCTGATTTTACCAGAAAAATTCTGATTTTTGGAACTTTTTCTGTCTCGTTTCTGCTCTTTTTTGTCCTGAGGTACTCAGGTAGCAGACCTCAAGTCCCAGAGCTTATTATTAACTTCTTAAAAACAGACCGAACATAGTTCAACATTATGGGGGGAAAATGCAAGGAGGGTTTACACGAGGCATTACAGAGCCAAAATTGCTGTGTACTCGTACGAAATTCTTTGTCTTTGATGTATGAGTTTCGTAAAAACATGTCTTTTTCATTTGCAGATAAAGATTGTGAGGTCCTAAAGGGATCATGGGGCTGATAAAAACCTCAAAAACTGTTTACATCATGTTCTCGAAGAAAAGTCCGAGTAAAACCTGAGTCAAACCTGAAAAAGCTATAGTCACTTTTAACGCCGAAGTATAGTTAAATGCTGATGACTATCCAAAAAGCAGGTCCTGTTCTTGATTTCTTTTACTGGTCAGGAAAAAAACAGCTCCTGACCAAGAAAACAGGACAAAGACTTTTTTACTTACAGTTTGCTGACCAGTCGTCTGATTAGGGAAACTGGACATTCTCTAGGGCAGGCATTCAACTGGCTGTATATTAAAGATAAGCGCTCATCGGCACTTCCATACTTGAAAAATTGAAAACAACAAAACATTATTAAAAATATTTACAAAAAATCTAGTTTATCAAATTCATAGCTGAATTTATTGAAGAAATTCGACGTTTTGATGATCTAAGTCATCAATATCAAGAAATCAGTATGAACTGACTATTGGTATTTATACATAAAACTGGACAGAGTGAGATTATTCGAACACATCTAAGTAATGAACAAGGGGAGAGTGATTACTTGGGAGAGATCGTGTCAGTGTGTACTGTGTATCGATCGCCGAAATCAGATGTTTGTGTACTGTTCACAGGTGACAATGACACAGGAACAGAGATATGTCTTGACAAGTCGAGGATGCGTGTGTGTGTGAACAAAACGAGAGAATTGTCACTTGTCTCTATTTTGTGGACGACGAGTGATTCGGATCGGGCAGGCTATTTCGTGGTAAGCCATCAGCGAAAACAATGAGAGGAACGGAGTGCGTCGTGCAGTTGAGTTTCGGCTGGAGTGCTTGTATCAACAGAGACTCTTTGAGCAGCAGCCGTTATGGATTGTTGTCCTGCCAGACGACGCGACCAGCCGATGTGGCAAGTATTGGTTCACCAGCATCAACAGTTTTCCCCCGTCGATCCAGTTCACACACGAGAGTGAGGGTGAGGGTGTCAAAAGTCAACTTATAGAGATGAAACCGCTAGTATCTGCTTGAGAAAGTTTGTTTTCTCTCATTGGTCCTGAGGATTCGTGAGCCAATGGCAGTGAAACCAACGCTGTGAAATTGTTCGTCAAGAATATGAGCGTGAAGGTATTTTCTCAGTGAAGTCTGCTCAGTGTTCAGTAGCCGAATGATAAGTTGTAGCCGAATGATAAGTTGTAGCCGACTGAGTCTCATCCTTCCAACCGACTTGTTCTGCATCATTCAAATCTCCGCCTATGCCTGGTCGTGAGTCATCAGATAATCTCTTGCCAACATTCATTTCAGGTCTCCAGCGCCAGGTCTCTTGAAAGAGGGGCTCCAGCTTCTTCCCTTCTACCAAATCTGCCACATATTTTCCAATTATAGGCAGCATTTTAAATCCATGTCCTGATGCACCACTTGCCAAGATGAGCGTGCTAGCATAGTCCGGATGTGGAGTGATTAAATAATGGCTGTCTGCTGTGTCCGTGCACCAGCACATTCGGGCATTGTGTAGAGGCAGATTGGCCCATTCTGGTTTCATCGAACGCAAGAGATCGTGGATTTCTCGAGAGGACCGAGCGGGGATGGAATCGGAGTGAACGGGCACGCTAACCCATTTTTCTTTGCCGTTGACTAGAATATGTTGGTAGTTCGTAAATCCAGGATACTAAGAAAAGATGTACGTAAGAAAGAAGGTAAACAACTCTCTCTATCTTACCTCGTTGCACACTTTGACCATGCCAGTGTCGTGATCCGGCTCGAAAAAGAAGCCTTTTTCGACATCGAACACGACTGGTGTTCCCTTGAGCTTGCGACGTTCGTCTTCATCCCTAATTTGAACGTGAGCAAGTGTCCACGTTTTGGCCACGAGTTGCCCTTGCATATCGATGAGCGTGTCGATCCAAGCCCCGCAGGCAAGAACAATCTTGTCGGCAAACCATTTCGTACCATCGGCACACTCGATACCAATGACTTTGAGATCGCTGGCATGGTAGATGAGTTTGATTGCTGTTCCCCTTACGAACGTGACTCCCATTTTGACACACTCATCACCTAACGTTTTCATCGCATTCCGAGCATGAACCCATCCGCCTTCGGGATTGAAAACACCCTTCCATCCGGTCATGGCACCAGTAAGATAAGGGGCAAAAGTCTTGATCTCCTCTGCATTATCTAACCAGCGGACTTGATCTCGATGTGGACTGGTGGAGAGTTCTTGATAGAGTTGAAGAATTTCTGGTACGTTGATCGGAGAGTTGGCAAGCGATAGACGACCTGTTTCGTGAAAATGCAACTTGAAGAGTGAATCTGTTCTCCATGCATGTACTGCCGCTTGTGATATTCGTTGAATGACTTGATCACCGGCGAATTCGGATCGAACCATTTTGTTGAGATCATTACCGGCTGAGTCGAGGGAAGGGAAAAGCCATTTGTCTAAACAGGTAATGTGCTTGTAACCGCGTACAGCTAAATGGTAGCATGTGGAAAGACCCCACGTTCCAACACCAACTACGAGTATTTTTGACGACTCCGAATGCATTCCAGTAGTAACGGCGTAAAAATGAAAAGAAGAACGAGAGGAAAGAAAGAGAAGATGTGACAGGCGAGAGCTTATCACGGTGGTTGTAATCTTTTTCTTTTTCTTCCACGTGGCTTATTATTTCTAACTGCAGAAAAGAAGAGAGAAAAAAAGGCATTCTAATATGAAGTGGGAAAGAGCGAAAACCTCGAATTTTAACAGATCATACAATAGAAAAGTTAGACAACAGAAGAGTATTGTCTTCGTACAACGGCACTACTTTCGTCTAATCGTTCAAGATATTGGACTCATGAAGAGATTCCCTTTCAAAATACTTAGAGGTACTTATAAATTGTCGTGAATGTACTTTATTTTTGTATAGAAGGTTTGAGGAGATTTTTTTGCGGTGATAGAGAAGATCGAGCTGTATTTTCCTGTACTATTTCATCCCTATTCAACTAGTATCTTAATAAAAAAATTTCAACAAGAACTGTGTTTTGTGCAGGGGTGGACCTTTGTCGTTAATTTAATATTAAATATTAAATAAAAATTTAATCTTTGAAATTAAATGTTAAAGTTATCTTTAATTTCGAAAACTAAAGTTAAAAAATTAACGAAACATTTAATCTTTAATTTGAAAAATTAAATCAAATATAATGTTTAGTATTTTAATATTAAACATTAAATTTTTTACATCATCCTACGAGAGCGAATCATAGGTACCGGACCGTTAAGACTCGCTCTCACACTCGATTTCAGAGGTTAGAATCAAAATTTAATATTAACTTTAATTTCAAAAAATTAAACGAAATCGGCTGGACTTTTGCGTTAATTTTTTGAAATTAAAGTTAATATTAAATTTTGATTCTAACCTCTGAAATCGAGTGTGAGAGCGAGTCTTAACGGTCTGGTACCTATGATTCGCTCTCGTAGGATGATGTAAAAAATTTAATGTTTAATATTAAAGATTAAATAAAGATTTAATCTTTAACAATAAACATTAAATTTGATTTAATTTTTCAAATTAAAGATTAATTGTTAAGATTATCAATTGTAAAGATTAAATTGTTTCGTTAATTTTTTAACTTTAGTTTTCGAAATTAAAGATAAATTTAATCTTTAGTTTAAAATGTTAAATTGTCCAGATGAGGTAGTAGATATCGATTTTCGATGACGCTGACCCGACCTCATCTGAGATTTCGACTTAGAAAGTCACTTTGGGAAACTTTAATTTTACTTTAATATTAAATGAATTAAAAAACAATGAGAGGAACGGAGTGCGTCGTGCGGTTGAGTTCCGGCTGGAGTGCTTGTATCAACAGAGACTCTTTGAGCAGCAGCCGTTATGGATTGTTGTCCTGCCAGACGACGCGAACATCCGACTAGCCGATGTGGTAGTCAGTGTCTTTCTCGTGTTGAGAGAGTGACGAGGCAGTGGCGATGACAACCGATCGAATTCAATTGTCCAATGAAACAATCAATCAACAGAAACAGTAACAATCAATGCTCCGATTCCATTTCGATGACAATTTTTACAATTAAGTTTTTTCTAAAGTATTCCTTTATGTGTCGACAGAATCAATCCGAGCGACGACAGCAATCGTCGAATAACGGGAAATCCATATCGGATGTATCTCGTTTAGATTCCCACATTGAATCTTCTTCGAAATGATCAATCTTTATTAACCGATGAGCAATGGACACTATTATCTTATGTCTATCACATTATGCGAGGTCTCTTCGTTCAACTCTTATGATGAATTTCTATAACAAAAGACAGGTCGAGCCAGAACGAAAAACAAATACTGATCAGGAAAAAAAACAGATCCTGACCAAGAAAACAGGACAAAGACTTTTTTACTTACAGTTTGCTGACCAGTCGTCTGATTAGGGAAACTGGACATTCTCTAGGGCAGGCATTCAACTGGCTGTATATTAAAGATAAGCGCTCATCGGTACTTCCATACTTGAAAAATAGAAAACAACAAAACATTATTTCTTCTTTCTATAACCTGAACGCAAAAAATTATTAAGAAATGAATAGAATTAACATCTGTTTAACATTAAAATATCTGACTTTTATGAAAAAATAAACGTAAGACATAACTTTATCAAAAATATTTACAAAAAATCTAGTTCATCAAATTCATCAGTAATTACGGAAGTGATATGTTGCTTCACGGCTTTTTCACCGTTTAATTCAGCGACATTTTCGTTAGCATCGCTGTCTGTGTCATCATACTCTAAAACTCGTTTTAATGATGGTTTGTCCACAACTTTTTTATCATCATTCACCCATCTTAGTTTTGGTTTTGGGACTAAAACAGGAAAACCTACGTCTTATAAGCGGAATTACAAACAAGAAACAGTTTACCAGTAAGAATATTTTGCTTTTTGCGCGGTTGTTCAGCTGTTGTTGTGGTTTCTTTTACTACTGTCGTCGCTATTTTATTTGTTTCAATAACATCCAAATAAATTTCACATTGTAAATCATTGACACGTGTAGCACGTGGTCCAGGAATAAGATAACATATACTATTATATGGTGTTAAATGAAAATCTTCTTTTATATATCGATCGAGAAGCAATCGTAATATAAGTCGTTGATGATCCTCACGATTTAATGACACTAATTTTGTTGTTTGTTCAAATAATTTTAAGGCTGTTAAACGATTTTTACTTGTCACAGTATTTTTTAAATAATCAATTATTATTTGTGCATCTGAACGACAATTTTTTTTTGTTGCTTTTCTAATACGAGAACATACATCACACATTTTATGACAATCGCCTGCTTGAAAAACTTCATCAAAATGTTCAGCAATACAATCTCGACGACATCGTGTTTCATTTAGACAATAATCAACGATTGAATATAAATTTTTAAGACCATTTCCAGATTTTTCGGCTAATGCCATACATGCCAAACGAAAGACATCGCTATATCTGAATATAGAGAATAGATTTGAATTATGTGTTAAGGATTATCAAACAAGGACGACATGTATTAGCTGATATATTAGAGAGAATTAGAGTTAAAACTAACTTGAAAAACAATAAACAATGTGATTGCTTATCATCTCTTCCAGCACGACCAGATTCTTGATAAAAATTCTCGATTGTTTTACTCAATGAATGATGAATAACGAATCTAACATCAGGTTTATCAATACCCATTCCAAAGGCGATTGTGGCACATATGACATGTACTTCGTTTTTTAACCATTTTTCATGTACCTGAGTCCTTGCTCTACCCGTTAAACTTGCATGATAACATCCAGCTTTTATTCCTGAAAGATAAAGCGTTATTTACAAATAAAATTTTGAGAACTTAACATACCGTAACTTTGTAAATAGCCACAAACATCCTCCGAATCTTTCTGCGATAAACAATAAACGATACCTTAAATAACAATGGGGTTTTTAAATAAAATGAATTTTTTAATAAAAAAAATAACACACCTGACTGTTTATCAAATCGTTGTGTTATTACACGAGCTAAATCTTCCATACAATCTTTAGCTGAATCTTTTCTCCATACTTCATAATACAAATTCTTTCTATTAAATGGCGCTTTGAATAATACGCAATGAGGAATATTAAGAATTTGTTTAACGTCTTCAATAACTTTTGTTGTGGCTGTTGCAGTTAGGCCAAGCAATGGTAACTTTGGAAATAAACGTTTGAAAATATTTAGATATTTGAAATCAGGCCCTAGTTATAGAACAAATTCATGCATAGGTTACAATAAAATAAACTGGAGGATTTTAACTTACTAAAATCATGACCCCAAGTTGAACAACAATGTACTTCATCAATGACTAATCTTGCAAATTGTTTCATTTCATATAACTTTTGAAGCTTCGTCATCATTGTTTTGCTTTTAGCTAACTTCTCTACAGTAAAGTACATAACATATTTTAATAATATCAAATTTTAATTCAAATGAGTGCTAACCGGGTGTAACATAAAGAATTTTCATTTGATGATTTTGATTCGGATTATTCAATATGTTCATAATAGCTGCAGCGTCGGTTTTTGACGTACTACTGTTAATGGCTCGAGCATCAATATCAAGTGCATGAAGTTGATGTATTTGATCTTCGACTAATGCGATAAGCGGAGATACACAAATAGTTATGCCTACATATAGAAATAATACAAAACATTAGTAGTACCAGAACAAGAAAAAGCGTACTAACACACCTTCTGATACAACAGCTGGTAGTTGAAAACAAAGACTTTTTCCACCTCCCGTAGGCATAATTAAAATACAATCTTTTCCAAATAATGTAACATTAATTGTTTCTAATTGCCACAAACGAAATGTTTGTAATTTGAATACTGTATTTAAAACATGTTCAACTTTTTTGCTCCATGGATAATCTGAAAACAACATAAAACTAGATGAATGGCTCCAAAAGATAATAAAAAAATATTAAAAATTTTCTCAAAAACTTAGTAGGTAGTATCCAGGATAAAGTCTGTTTAGCTATGCATATATCCTGTGATTCCAAGCGGAGTCATTTTCCACTAGAATTTGAGCGAACAACGATATAGTAGTAACACATTGTAACGGCAGGATTCCATCAGATACCACTGTTTAATAAACTAACAATTCATATTTCCAAGCGGTTCAAAACTACATGTATAAACTTTAATTTTGTTTTTGTCGCAAAAGTAAAAAACTGAATTTCATAGATATGGACAAGAATTAGTTAGAGTAACGCAGTAAAAATTTGCAGATATATCAACAAGCATTTCACTTTTCTTTCCTTTTTACTAGCATAAAACATACCTGTTCGTCTCCAGTTTTCAACAGCATCTTTCTGAAAGCCGTGAACTGAACTTTTCAATGCATTGCTCAGCGTTCGTTTTAACTCTTGTTTACGTTGTTCTAGTTTTGAACGTTGTTTGTATAGATGAGCAATTTGGCTGTCTAATTCTGCAATTTCAAAATCGATTGCAATAAGCTCATCATTTTCTAGTGATGTTGAAACACTTGCCTTTGAAACACTATTGTATAAGAAAAAAAAGAAGGATGTATAACTTCAATTCAAATCTAATCAATAGCAGTGAAACGCTACCCAGAGCAATATATGAAGAACTTGCCTTGAAGGTGATTTTTCTTGTTCAGCTGCTTGACAAATTTCTATTAACAGTTGATCATCAACATCATCCAAAATCATTAGATCGTCATCATCAGCTGATTGTAAAGCCATCTTTCTACAAAAAACAGAAGTCGTCGAGAAGGAAAGCTTGGTAGTGAATGAACGAGTATTGTCCAGTATAGCAGAAGAAATGGCTAACCACCTGTAATAGCTTAGTTTGTTTCAGAAAGTAACATCCATCAACTCCAAAACTTCCTTTTCTTCCTTTTTTTGTTAGTTTTTCAGAAAAATGATATTTCTACCTGTCTTCGTTACATGTGAGACCTTTAGAATTTTTGCTGATATGGAATATAAAATATTAGGACCAATTTATTTCAAATAAATCACGAAATACAAAATAAAAACATTTGTCGAAATAACAGTCTCCAAAAAAAGAGAATCCATTCATAGCACCTCACATAATATATGGAAGAACGTCGTTATTCGTCACTCATGTAGAAAAAAACATTTTGGTTTTTCTTCTACTCACATTTAAGAAGATAAAAAAACAACAAGTATAAAAAAAAGCAATATTATTACAATATTTCGTCGCTAAAAATGACTAAACTACGAGAAAAAAGCGCAAATTAATGAACTCGTCCAAAATGGAACTTATTCATTCATTCATGAGATGAAAAACTATTGACAATGAGATTAGACCAACTAATAAGAATCGAACACTGTCTTTCAAAACACAAAAAGTGTCTGAAGATTATTCACATGTCAAAAATGACACAAAAAAAGAAGATAAGAAGTAGATGTAAAAGGAAATGCAAAAAAACAAATGCTAATCGACTACTTGTCAAACTTAAAAAAAAGGGTCAAAAATGAAAATATACTGTATACATGAATAAAAAAGAATAAATTAGTAAAAACAGAAATTATTCAGACGTGGTTATTGTCATGAACATAGAAAAAGTATCATATTTTCTTTTTATGCTTATCTGGGGTGTTGACCAATGCCAAATTTGATGGCCAATAGCGATTATTTGGATATGATTTATTATTGGTATTGTTAACAGTATTATTTTCATTGACTTCTTCATTTGTTTCTAATTGTTGATGATGATGATGATGTTTTTTTTTCTTTGCCAATGCTAAATCGGGATTACTGGCCTCTAACATTGGCTGTAGAATTCGTCTTCGAGCGTTAATAAACCAGTTGTTGACTTGCAATAGCGATAAATTTGTTTTTGATGAAATGTGACGTTTTTCATCTTCAGTCGGATATGGATGAACAATATGTTGAAATAACCATGAACGCATTATATTTGTGGCAGATTTGGGTAAAACTCCTCGCTTTGTGGATGATGGTAAGGAAGTTGTTGTTGATGTAAGAGAAAATTCTTTTCGTTTACGTTTTTTATTTGATGTTGAGATAGTATTATTATCTTTATTATTCGTGTAGAATGATTTTGATGGCTGATAAGTATGAGACTGATAAAAAGAAACTGGTTGTTCGTCAGATGGAGTATGAGTTGTGTTACACCCAATAATTTGTGACAATGGTGTCTGACCGTCAAATAATGTTATTGCTGTCGATTGTAATATACTATTGTCATAAGCATTCTCTCTTGTTCGAGTATCTGCGCATGATGACAATGAATTCTTTTGGTAATGGTGACTAAACAGATGAAAAAAACAAATTAGTTTTTGAGTCAAAAACGAAGCAAGTAAAGCTTTGTGAGCTGAACAATTGTGAATCACTATGAGGAAGATAATGAAAAGTAAACCGGTTGTTACCTTGAAGCATTCGTTGAACGTGTAAAGTTTTCTTTGCAATGATTTAGTGATTCATCATCATTATCATCATCATCCTCATCATCGTTTGAAGAATATGTCTCACTATCATTTCTTTTGAACCTTTTTCGTATCGTCAAGCGCTGACTACTTCCTTCTTCTTCATCAGTTGTTTGTTCCTCACCATCACTTTCGTTTTCCGTAGTGCAATTATCCGAACTGTAATTATTTTCATCGATACTAGTTTTAAAGTTTAATTTTAATTTCAAACAAGCAATGTATCGTTGACAAAAATCTTTACACAATTCATTCACTTTTTCTAATTCTAATAAATGTATGCGTAGTACTTGTATAGCATGAATAAAGAAATCGTCAACGGATTGAGTTAAATTATCATTTTCACATGTTTTTATTATTTCTTGATCAATAAAATTTTTTTGTAAAAATGTTTTGATATCATATTCAAACGTATTTGTTGGTTTTTGTTCTTTGTCAATTAATAACGGATTCAAGGTGGCTTCTTCACATTTTTCCAATATATAGACTAAGAATGGAAATAATGGATGTTTATAAATTAAATTTTTTTGTTCATTAAGTAATTTTGTAGACGATTCATTATCAATTAGCATGTTCTCATCATTATCTTGAACGATAGCGTTGTTGTTGTTCAAATATGACATTTTATCTTGATCTTTTACAATAAGTGAAGAAGCGATAAAAGTAAGAAATTCATGAATAGAAATCTGAAATAAAGTTATCAGTTTCATGCAGAACCATATTTTTTTAAGCACAGAATGTGAAACTCGTACAGCAGTCTTTAAGCGTATAACAATCTGCGGCATATGTCAAGCGGCATTTGTAACTATCCATGTAAGCTAAGCTTTGAATATCGAAAATCACTGTAAAATTTCAACTTCTATTTTGTTCTACACCCTGTGAGAAAATGAAAAGGTGCAAATTTTTTGCATCCATGGACAGTTCCACTCTTTTCATCCTATCACTCAAAAAAACGTTTTCTTGTTATTATTCTCCTCCTATCACGACTCTCGAATCACCTTCATTATATGTTATAAGAGGGCTATAATTACACATTAACAAACTTTTTTATGCAATTGAAATCAAGGTTTAGGTGGTTATTTGGACGCTGTAGAAAATAGATAGTCATTTTAGTATGCTAAAAATATTATTAGGCACTGATCAAAAATACAAAATAATCGCTGCCTTTCTCATGGTATTTTCCACATAATATTCAGAGTTAAGCGCCTAAGCTCATATAGAGGTTCCTGCTTGATACTATATTTTTAGACAATAACAACAAAAATATACGATACATTTGCTCTTTAATGATTCGTAACAGTTACTCATATGATTTGTTAATTGAAACATGAATGCAAGTGGTATGGTTAAGAACGGTTATCTGGAAGCTGTATTACGAAAAAAATTACGCCAAAGTGTGACTTAAGTCATGGGAAATGTAGTCTTAAGTTAAGACGGAAAACTTAAGTCGGACTTAAGTCATTGACGCATTTTTCGAATAGCTCAGGCATTTAACGATACGATTCGACGAAAACGACTTTTTAAGGTTTAGAGAATAAGTATTTCGTTATTTTGTGGGTTTTTGTCCCAAGTTTGTCACTGTTGCCAACGACTTTCAAAAAGTAAACAAATCATTAACTTGAGTCGTCTTTTCATAATACAGTATAAGTCCCCGGACTTAAGCCGGTCTTAAACTTAGACTTCACGACTTAAGTCGATGATTTAAGTTTGTTCGTAATACGATCCTCAGCCCTAGCATTTAAGAACCGTTGTTTAAAAAGGACGAAAGAACATGAGATGAAAATAAGTAATTGTTTCAATTCTCCATTTGAGCTTATTTTTCAGGCCTCTATGGTCAGTCTAAAGGTATACTGCACAGTTTGCTTCTGCATCGAACACTTATTAAAAATACTCCTCGTGCACTTCGCTTTATATTCTGATCAGAACCCTCAAGTAAAAAATAAGAGTATACAGCCAGCGTTTATAATGATGAAGTACGCCGGTGTAAACAAAGCGCACTTGCCTGTCTTTCCAAAATACACCCTGTTTTATACTTTGGTCCAAAGAGCAAAGTGTCCGTATATACTCTGATATTTAAATTTACACTGTGTTCCAGCGCAAAAATATCGAACATTCCTCCAGAATATAGATGATTCTTCCTCTTTACTCAAAAATATTCGCATGAAAACAGAGATTTCTATCTGTCAGTACAATAAAGCTTTTTTCTAAGAACGTGTATACTCGGAGAAAAATCGAGTATACCAACACACTATGGTGGGAAAAGCAGAGTGCGTACGTACACTGTGTGAAAAAATTCCAGTAGAAACACTGTATACAAAATCGGCTAAACGTTTGCTCCACAAGATTTTAAAAGAAATCAGTATGATCCAGAAATAGAATTCTCTCAAATCCTTGCAGTTTTAAAAGAGGTATAAACGTTACTTTACTAGGTTACGGTGTCCCGGCGCTAATAGAGAGAGTAAAGCACCTCTCAGTTTTCAACAGATGTTGATCAAAAACTTTTCTTTTTAAATAGGAATAAAAACGGGTTAATCTTTCCATACTTTTGCTGTACATTTATTCCTTCTTTCCTTTGGAAAACTAAATAATTTAAGTTTCGTTCGTCTGTGCTGTGATCGTTAGCAGCTGAGAAGTAAACGTTATGAAAGGCCAATCCGAATCTAGCAACGCTACTGCATTAAGGTGTTAAGTACAGTAAGACCAATTTAAACTGAGATTTCGTATGTTTGCTTCAAGTAAGAGTATCAGATGTTTTTCCATCTTGTATCGAAAAGAAATTAGTTATATTTAGGAGGGACAATATGGCAAATTTTATTGGATGCTGACAATACGAGCAATGCTCTCTTCTGTGGCGTTGTGTTTTTGTGTTTCGTTTCGTACATCGACTATTGTACCGATATCGGCCAATTAGCCACAGAAATTTAAGTGATTTACAGCATTCTGCACATGATTGTAGCTTTTCAAATCGTTTTGAATTGTGTGATAAATGATTCACAAGTAGAACCTTTCAGCCTTTCTCGCTGTCACCGGGCTTATGTAGTACATGGAAGCTAGTTGCGCTACATATACCTCGTGCATAATGATCAAGGCATTCCATCTAGCAGTCAAGATTCAAGGCAAAATCAATTGTAGTGTACGTCTTTCATATTTTTCAAAGTAACTAAGTTTTTATCGGAATTGCAAAAATGGTAAAAGAAGAAGTATGCCATATGATGAACTTGAATCAGTTTTAAATTTTATTTGAGGTAAGTCACTGTTCTCGTTTCTATTTTTAAGTTATATAATTCATTATTGGCTAAATATTTATTTAGAATGATAAAGTACAGAAATTAATCTATAAAATGATTGTTCCTAATTATTTTTTAATTTTTATTTATATTTCTTTATAAATTTATTCATAGTTGATACAACTGTCTTTGAAATAAACAATTAGAACATAGGACATCGTCAATAACGTTGAAAGAGAAATGAAATAAAATGAGATCAGACCAATTCTTTGCGTTCAGATTCCTAATGTGTGATCTACATGCTATTGTGCATATCAACATTGTATTGGAAACAGTTCAAGTCCTACAATTTTACAATTAACATAATTATTAAACTAGTAGTCTGATTATTTATTTGCCACATATTACCACGCTCTGACTTTAATAACCACATTATTCGCCGTTGTGGTTTCTAGTTGACGCATAGTGAACAGTTTCTTTTTTGGAACAGGTTCAAAAGGAAGTAGACACCATTTTCCAGTAAAAGTAGCCTCTTTTACTTGACAAAGATAATACATTAAAGTAAATCTTTAACGAAAAAATGATTTCGAATTGTGGAGTAGATCCAAAGAATTGCTCTCTTCTTGTAACATTACTCTTAACATGCTTTTTTGTAAGAAGTACCAGTTGTATTTTACTTTTTTAATTGAAATATGTGTAGAATAGTATGTTGACTTATGTCTTCAACGAGAGTTTTGGATGTTTCGGAAGAAGTGACAGTTGAAAATATTTGTTATTAGTCATTCCCTGGTGGCTTTTCTAATTATTTAACTTTATGCTAGATACAATAAATTGGCCGTGTTGTGGTTCCCTCGTAAGAAACTGTAAGTGGGTAAAGTAAAGGTTATTTATAACAGAATATGTTTTCTACTTATGTTCTATTTTTTGTCAAGTACAAATCGTTTCTACTGAAATGATATGATAATTATGATAAATTCTCGACGGAAAATGCAGTAAATGTCATTCGATAGAAAAATTTGTTTTTTCTTATATCAATTATTTTTCATTTGATAAGGATAACTAATTTTGAATTCTAATAATAGGACTAAAGAACTGCTCATTTTTTATTTCAATACACATGAAACGTTTTTGTTCGATTAAATTAAGCATATTTCTGCAGTAAATACTGTTTTTAACGTGACAATTGGGAGTTTGATTTTTATTAGATCAATAAAGTCCATAAAGTGGAAAGTAAAAACAACACATGTCGTACCAATCAAAAATATGCGGAACGTTAATTGCAAAGACATGTTAATTTATAGTTTTGTAATCCATTGTTCGAGAATTTTGCACAAATTTGCGTTGAAAATTGTCGTTTAGCGCTTGATCTCTTGTTTCCTAGGATGTGGTATATGAAAATCACACTCGAACAAAGGCAACTATCATATCATACTGTTAAAGACTTCACATTTGTCTGTATCTATTGCCATAATTCGATTCATCTGACAATAACATGGATGGATTATTTTTTTTTGCTTCTTTATCATGTAAATTCAACAATTTTTTCACGATAAAACGGATTAATAATTGTCTTTTAGCTACGCATGTTCAAATAATACCCCGAGTGATTATAGAGAACAGAACACTATGTATTGAATCTATCTTGCAGTAAAAGAAGGATATATACGATCAAACTCTTCTTACAGAAGTATTAGATTAAGTCTTTTTCAAATAAGCACATCTCACTTAATGTTATGCTGAATCAGTTTTCAAACGAACTGAATGTATTTAATAAATTGATGGATAATGGTAGACTCAAATCTAGTCTTGTTGTTGAAATCCATTGGACGTAATTCTAAATCATCACATTCCATTTCATTACTCTATAAAACTGCTTGTATCAACTCTTTTTTGGTATTATCTAAAAACTGGCATTCAACTTTACGAGATTTACCAGTTCGATCTGAACTAAACGACAACTTCCAGAACAAGTTGTCGTCCAGTTCAGTTAGCAGCAATAGTTTCAGATATTAGAAGAGTTGCAACACGAGACTATCAAAAAAGAAATTTGAGCTGACTATATTCATAATAAATTAAGCACGATATGATAAATTCTTTGAACACAACATTTTTTTAACTTTAGAAACGCGCAATTATGTGCTACTAAATTCGTTTGAACAAATTTGCCTTGAGTATTGTAATGTCACCATAAGTATTTCATACAATCAACGATGAGAAGTAGATTTACAATATAATCTCCTATAAGAAAAATGTACAATAATCTTAATGTCGATAATAATTATATTGACTTTCAAATATCTTAAATAATTTAGATTTTACATCATTCATTTTTCGTAAATAAACGAAAAATGGACACAAATGCTTTTGAAACTAAAACAATTAAACCATATTCTAAATATTATTGAATTTTCTCAATAAGATCACACAACATATTGTTGTCAGATTATACTTAGAGTATAAAATGTTAAAGTAGTGGAAAAACAACGAGAAAATTTGAATCGTACAAGTTGCATGATTTCGAGACTTGTAGAATAATATCATTTTCATTTTGCTCAACTGTCAATTAATCGTTAATATTCGGATGACATACTACAATGCAAAAAAAGATGATTGTTCTGTCGCTGTTTATTAATCTTAATAGACTTAAATTTACAGCAATTTGTTCTTTCGTTCTTTCTTCTATACTCTGTGATTTGCAAGTGGTTGGACGCTCTCATTTTTTTTTCCCATTAACTCTTTAATAGTCACTCTTTTATGGAACAATGGCTTTTTATTCATTAGCGTCAATCGTGACACCGTTAATAAAATAATACAAAAGTACAAAAGAAGAACCAAATATCTCGTGAATAATTGAACAAAATTAAAACAGAGAAAAAAAGAACAGTTGTGTATTGTGTTATTCGTTTCTAATTCATTTCTTTTCACTAAATATAATACTGAGCGATGTATAAAGAAAAGAAAAAAATAACTGTCACATTGTTCACTATCATGGACAATCGGAAAAAAAAATATTTTCAGAAGCGTGGTGAAGCGAAAAAAAAAAGAAACGAAATAATCAGCAGCAAGTTATGGAAAACTTTTGAATAAAAAATATTCAAGCAAAACATTTGAAATTTCGTTTATAATAATTATTTCGATATTTAAACAAGTTGCACAATTAAGAAACTTACTGATTGAGCCTAGTTTTGGACATAAAATACTTTATAAAATATATTACAAAACAATTACTCTTAATAATGCCATAATACCAGCAGCAATACCTCCTGTAACTGGCACAGTAATAATCCATGCTACAATTATATTACGAAATAATGACCAATCAACACTTTGTTTTGCACGGACACGACCAATTGCTACAACACTGCCAACTTTACAATGAGTTGTGCTCACCTAAAAAAACAATATGAACATTTATGAAATTCTACATATACAGATTACAACTTCTTTAGGAAAAAAAATATAAATAGATGTACTATACTAACCGGTATTGATAAATTTGAGGCAAATAATACGGTGAATGCTGTTGCTATTTCAATAACAAAACCGCTAAAATACAGAAAATTTTCACTTCAAAACAAGTAATATTGTATCAAAACTTCCTCTACCTTGATGGTGTAATTTTTGTTAAATCTTCTCCAATCGTTCTAATAACACGTCTTCCCCATATCCATAAACCAACAGAAATTCCGATTCCTCCATAAAATAGAACCCATAACGGTGTAGAAGTTGTACCCCTCACATCTCCATCCGTGTAGAGTAACCATAAACCAATGAGTGGACCGATAGCATTACTTGTAAAACAGAATATAAGAGAGAATATATAATTTTCACAAAATGAATTTAATAACATATACCTGACATCATTACCACCATGTGCAAAACTACCGAAGATAGCTGTTAGTATTTGCAAAAATGTAAATATCTGCGAAATTTCAATGCTATCATTCGTTGTATCGACTACTTTCTAAAATTATATTACTATCATATTTAAATATTTCAATTGTAGTTAGTATAAAATACGGGAGGCCTGAATTTCGGACTACGAACTTTTGTCCCGGACTTTCGGACCGAACCTTAATTTACCTAATTAATTTATAAATAATTAGTAAACTTCATGATGCTCGGCAAGACGATATAGTGCTTAGCAGTGCAACATGATGTTTAGCAGTTTTCATTCAATTCTATTAGAAGTGAAGCAGACCACGATATTCTACCAATATAATTTTAATTTTATTCGACCGATGTTTCTCCATCAATACTGCCACTTTCATCTTGCTGAGCACCACGTCATACTGCCGAGCACCACGTTTTATTGAAAGTGTATAGGGCTGAGCACCATGAAGTTTTGGTCCGAAATTCCTTTCAGACTTTCGCTCCGGGCCGAAAAATCACCGAAATTTCGGACCGGGTCGAAAGTCCGGGACAAAAAAGTCGTAGGCCAAAATTCATGTAACTCTAAAATACAAACCTTCTTTTCTACGATGACAGGCATTTTATCTTCAATTTCATCAGTTTCTTCGTTTGAACTACGCTCTCTCGATACTGTTGACAAATTATCATCATCTAACGAAAAGAAACAAATATAAAAGCGTGAATCTATTCTATATAATACAAACAGCTATAAAACTAAAAAAAAGCTCCTGATTGTATTTTGTGAAAACTTCCTAGGACTTGTCCGTTTTCTGAAGAAAAAGAAACTGTGAAATATAAAGTTTATATACGAGGATTTTTGTGGTTTCCATGTTTTTTTTTTGTCAGTAGCCGTAAACTTTCGGGGTGAAATTTTGATTGATCAAATTTCAATATAAATTTAGGGTTTACAGCTACTGAATGGACTAGCAACAGACAGTGTATTATTGATCTGATGTTGTTAGACACAAGCTTTAAAAATTATTACGATATATTATATTACTACATGTTCTATGTTATAGTCCAACAGTTCAACAGGAAGTTTTCACATTTTTGCTTTGTAGAAGCAACGCTGACAAGCTTTTTGCACTCATTGGACAAAAATAAACGGTTCTTCTACAGATCGATCACACCCACTGCTGTGTTGTGTGTGAAGTGTGAGTGTGTGATCAATCTGTAGAAGTACCAAATAAGCAGCAGAATCATGTTTGATTTTTTTTTGTTACTTTAACCCGTTCATTCCCAATGTCTGTTTAAACAGACATGAGTTAAATTTATTTTTAAGCCGTGAACGACGCAAGATATTAACAAGCGCTTTTCAACATTCGATAGCCAATACTTTGAGCTATGTTTGTATAAGCAAAAATTGGTTTCGGAAAAATTTCAAAGATCGAATATTCAAAGGATCTCTGGAAGACCACTTTGTATCTCTCAAAACTACAACGGCAATCTATCGACTTTTTTCCATATGTAGATAGTCCAAAGTGTCCTGTTTAAAATGGGAATTAAGCGAACTCTTAGTTTTTTGTGGTTTAACCGTGGCATCGGATTTGCTCAAAGCCCCAGGACCAATATTTCTTTAGATATGGTAATCTCAAAAACAAATGGAAACATAGGTAATCGACTACGCTGAATCTTCTGGCAATATTTGTTCTTCAAAACAGTTCCAGAAACCTAGTGAAAACGTATATTAGGCGAAGTAACCAATTTTTGCCTACTTTTGAATAAAATTAAAAATTTCATAACCCAGTCAAGATCCATCCAAATTACGTCAGAATATCACTCTATTTTACCTGCTCTATATGTTTTACCACAAAAAACTAAGAGTTCGCTTAATTCCCATTTCCCAAACGAATATTTATAAAAGTAGATTGAACGACAGGAAAAAATAAGCCGACCGTTTCAGTATTTATTAATAAATCATGAAACTATTCATTTTGAAAAACAGCCCTCTTCTTCTGCTGTTCTCCAAGCAAATAGCCTTTACGAGGTTTAAATCGATATTAAATAGAAACAATGGTCAGATGTTTTCGTCTTCTTCGATGGCTGTGAGAAGCTTTTTTTCGTCTTCACATAGAGGATAAAAGTTAATGAATACTGTTTTAAGCTAAAGTTCTCTTATAACCAGGGTTGTCACACCCTCATCTCACTCCTGTGTAACGGCAGTCCTGCTTATAGCTGTTCATTTGTACTTTCGGAAACGTTCGTTTAATCGCTATAAGACGAGAGATAAGTTTTGATTAAACTTTCTAGCAATAAGAAGAAGCACTAGAAGCAACAAAGAAAAGCAAGATCTGAGAAAGATCTGAGTTTGCTATAGCACAATATGACTGATGAGAACTTTTTAGGGAAAATGACAGCGAAATAAAATATGTATGAGTACCAGAGACCGAAACGGGTCGAGTCGGATCCGATTTTCTCGGATCGGGTTCGGGTCAATGTAAAAAATATTGGTTCGGGTCGGGTCCGGGTTAAAATAAAAAATATTGATTCGGGTCAAAGCAAAAAAAATTTCGGGTTTTATTCGATCTTGCCACTAGAACACAATCAGGAGAGTTTCGTCGGTTACAATTCACTCTTCTGTTTTTAAACATATGTCTGATGAATTGAGCAAATATTTGAAATATGATCATCTGGATGTTGATAAAAATATATATACAAAACCAATTAATTTAAATAATAAAAAGATCAAAGTTTGTGATCCTTTACTATTTTGGAAAGAAATTTCAAAAACGTTTTCTTTGTTGGCTAAAGTAGCCGAACAAATTTTGACTATTCCGGCTACATCAGCTAGTGTAGAACGCTCATTTAGTGGTGCAGGTTTAACTATTACAGAATTGAGAACAAATATCAATCCGCGGATTGATATTTGTTCTCAATTCTGTAATAATATCCGGTCTGTAATGTATCCGGATATCCGGATACATTAAACGACTGTGTATTTCTGAGATCTGTAAAGACGCAAATGAAAAATTGATTTATATTTGTTTAGTTGTAACTACATTTTTTTGTTATTTTGCTGGTGTCAAAGAAAAGAAAAAAGAGAAATATAACTAAATCAAAAAAAAACCAACGACTTAGATATGCCTCGCATTATGATAATTAGACTTCATGACAATACACGATCGACAAACGGTTTTCTGTTTCGGATTATTGTTAGGTCCACTAAGAAAAATTTTCGGGTCATTCGGGTCCAGTTTTGAAAATTTCGGGTCGGGTCCAAAAGCCTTCGGATCGGGTCGGATTCGGGTCATCCACCTAAGACCCGATTCGGTCTCTGATGAGTATGTAACAAATTGTTGTTCCGTAACTTCAAAAATACTATTTCATGCTCTCAATAGAAAGTTTCGTTTTTACTAAAGATTAGCACAGTGGCGAAGTAAGAATGAAGAATAGAATAAAGAGGAAAGAAGTGAATTAGAGAAATTATTCAAATTTTATGAGATTCGAGAATAAGTAAAGGATGAAAAAAAGAAAAGAATAAAAAGGTCCTTAAATATGTGGGTACTAGAAAAAAAGTAGAGAAGAGCATGTCCCAATACTATTTAATTATCTTTTTAAATCAAAAGTGAAAAAAATAAAATCTTTGTTTTCAGTTCATTATTATACTTTTTTTCAATGATAATATGTCTTTATAAATACATTTGCATTTTGTTCTTATTCGAACAAATTGTCTACTTACTAAGAGCAAATACTGAAATAAAAAAAAGTTTTTTATTTAATCTCAGTGTGTGATCAGTGATATATCAGTAAAATATCTTTGAGTATAAAGAGTCATTCGATTCGTTTTTTTAAATATGTACATACCAGCTGCTAATACTAGACTATTGTTTTCACCTGGAACACTATCAACACCACCAGTAATATTAGTCGGAAATGATTGTGGTAAACGATAAATTTTTGTTTTCTAAAAATAAAAAACATGTATTGATGTGATAATAACTTATTAACTTTGACTTTAATTTACTTCGTGAATTGATCTTCCACCATCGGTTAATATTTCTGCTCGAAATTGATTACTTTCACGTCTTACTTCTGATATGGCGCTAATTGGTGGACTAATTATTTCCGAATCTTTTCGTATTCGTTGAACTTCAACTAAAAATAACAAACTGTTGATATTGACACAAATACAAATATTATTGATTTTTGATTATTATTGTTACATACTATATTAGTAAGGGGACAAACGGCATGGACTACGTCAAAAAGTGATTTTTGGGCATTGGAATTGATTGGATGAAAAGTTCACAAAAATTCACTTTCGAGCTTTTAGCCATAAATTGAAAAGGTCACCTGGATTCTTCCAGTTAATTCTGAGAAAACTCATATAGAGGATGCTGTTTTGCTTTTTTCTTAGAATTGACTGGAAGAATCCTTGGATTTATGGCTAAAAGCTCGAAAGTGAATTTTTGTGAACTTTTTATCCAATCAATTCCAGTGATCAAAAATCACTTTTTGACGCAGTCCATGCCGTTTGTCTACGTACTATATGGTCGGAATTGATCAGGATGTGCTTGTTGAAAACGTATTAAATCGTATTCTTTGAGCATTGAAATATGATCGATTTGTGTTTCTTTATTAATTGTTAAAACATTATCTTCTTTTCCACTTACTAAACACGAAGAAAATGTTTTTGATTTAGAGTAATTGTGTTAGATCTTTCTGCGATACCGTTTTCAAAAAAACTCTACAACATTTATACAACGTATGAAGATGTTCAGTGAATCTTCCTCTATAAAGTCTTTAGATGTCTTAGTTCTTAATTGACAGGATTATTAGTTGAATGAAAAGTATTTAGACCTACCAGTATATGTTTCAAATGTACCATCTACCGTTGCTAGTTGTGGTTGATCACTATCGAGGTCTCGTTTCTTCTTTAAAAGGCCTAAAAATGAAACAATTTTATTTATTGTTATTTCTCGTAATAACATGTTTTATCCTTCGAACCTTCAATTCTCTTTCTGACACGAGGCTTAACAAAAATCATAACGAAGGCAGCAATAAATATACCGACACCAAATGTAGTTACAAGTTTTCCCCATAATGGTATTCGATCAAAACGTAACACTGAAAAAACATAATGTATATTTTTTCAAATATTATTTCAAAAATTTATCTTCCAGTAATTACATGGCGGAGCAGAGAGTAGAATTGATATAACATTAATCATAATTGTTACAGAGTAGAATACAGGTAACCAACGTAAACCAACTGTTATTTGTGACTTCTAAAAGATGTAAAACAGAATATTGAGTATAAAAACATCAATAAACGTCTCTTACCGCTTCCAAAATAAATTTTTTGATTAGTAAAAAAACACCAATTGAAATAGCACCTGCTAAAGCGGGTGATATAAACCAAGAAGCAACTGGAATAACAAGAAGAGAATATTCAAACTTTATTCAATTAACTAGTATGTACGTGTCTACTTACCAATTTTACCAAATTCACCCCAATTTACAACTTTTGCACCTTTAGAAATAAGTGCAAAACCAATGGTTGCACCCACAATACTATGAGTACCGGAAACTGGTAAATTAAAAAATGTTGCTATTAATAGCCAAATACAACATCCTAAAAATCACAATACAATAGAAATAATTATTTCAAAAATGATTGACATTTTACCTAATAATGATGACACTTGACCAAGCATCAATTCTTTTTCTTGAAATTCAAATTGGGTAGGATCAATGATGCCTTTCCGAATAGTATCTGACACTTTGGCTCCTAAATACAAAGAAAAAACAAATTTTAAAGTCTAGTGTTATTTGTAAACTCTAATTTACCGATAAGAATTGCTCCTAATATTTCAAATATTGTTGCTAATATGCATGCCTGTTTTAATGTTAATACTTTTGATCCAACACTTGTACCAAAACTGTTTGCAACATCATTTGCTCCAATACCAAATGCAAGAATAAAAGCAATTATAAAACCAACAATTAATATCCATAATACATCTGGACTATATGGTTCAATCATTGTTGGTTTCTTATGTATCTTATACTATTTAAAAAATAAAGTAATTTTTTATTGTTTTTCTAATAGAACTATTGTTCAATAATCAGTTTTTTACAATCATATATGTTACTTTTTTTTTTTGCGTCTATCAAATAAAAAATAGTTATTCACCTTTTAAAAAGATCAACGCTCTTTGTGCAAATAAACATGAATTTTTTTCAAATGACAAAAACCATTTGATGTTAATCTTTAATATAAAACTTTTATGATGAAAAGTATTTTGTCTTCTTCACAAGACAGTTTCATAGAATGATTTATCGTTATTTATTTAAAGCTATATCATATCTTTAAGTTAAATTATTCTACTCTATTCTATACATCTGTTTTTCTTTTTATCTTTCGTTCAACGCGTGTCTTTAAGAGATCTAAAGAACACAATTATGAGTCATACCTTAATGTTGTCAATTGTCCGATTGAATCTATTTATTTATCTATCTATCTATCTATTATCTATCTATCTATCTATTATCTATCTATTTTGTACATATTTAAAGGCTCCAAATAGACGTCATGATCCTGTATCAATAAAAAAAATTTGATCTATGATGAAACGGTAACCACTTTTCTTGTAATTTATCTCAAAAGGTAGGTAAGGACGTCTTATCGTGAGTAGAAAATCAGTAAATCAATGATTGATTTTATGCATATTAATTCAGTCCAGAAATTTTAAAGCGTGTTCGGTCAAAACTGATTGCTGATTCGGATTTTCCATAGTTGATTACCTTGTACGCAACAAGTTTTGAACTTCAGAATGTTTTACCAAAGAATTTTTTACGAAGTTCTTAGGGCTGAATGAGACTCAGAAATTTTTCTAGAGTATCCCGATTCAAAACTTATTGCGTACAAGGTAATCGACTGTGGAGAGTCCGAATCTATAATCAGTTTTGGCCGAACATACTTTTAAAATTTGATATGAGTTTTATTAAGTCAAATACGTTGTCTTCGTAGTAAAAAACTAATGACAAAGCTAATTTTCATTCTTCGTGATAAGAAGACATGTTAGACATACCATTTATTCGACTTCAGAAAATCATCGTTATTTTCAATCACAATGACGCGTGTATCACCAAATTCAAAAATTTTAAAAGCTTCTTCAGTCAAAACTGGTTCATCTTGTCTATGGTCCATAATCTTGTACGTGATAACATTGGATTGGGGTATTTCAGAAGAAAATTTACTCATGATCTTACTCAAAAATTGTCGAAAAAGTCACTGTATGAAACCAGAGACAAAACGATGTCGAAAAAATTTTCTGAAGTACCCCGATTTAAAAGTTATCGCGTCCAAGATTATCAACCATGGACAAGATGAACCTGCAATAGATTTTGACTGGCGAAGCTTTTTAAAATTTTTTGATTTGTACTGTATGCAGTATTGTAATCTCAAATAAAAATTATTTTCTTGTTAATGTTTGTCAAAACTCGGCATCTTTCGATGCCATATTATATGTACGCGAATCAAATGTAACGGATATGTAATACAGAAACACAAATACTGGACGGGAATCGAGTGACGTTACGCTCATGAATATTTTGTTGTTTAGCATGCAAAAATAGTTTTATTTTGTCTAGGAATTGATGGTGCAAGAAAAAAAGCACTTGTTTTACGTCTTCTTTCTAGCTACTTTTTTTGAAAAATAGCTGAAGAAAAATTCTTTGCGTTCTCTGCTCTGAGATTCGAGTGATGTCCCTAATATGATAGTATATTAATATTAACAGACTATGTCAAAATAGTTATGAGGACCATTTTTGAATGATTGTATGCTGTTCAAGATAGATGAAAAAATTCCGAATGTTACTTACTTTTAAAATGCTCACATTTATAAAACCGTTAATGAACGAAAAACAATCATTCAATCCAAAAAATAAATGATCTATTAATGATTTGTTAACGAAGAATTAGTCGTACCATTATAGATCTATGTTTTTACTTGTGAAAAAAATATTCGTTGATCTTGGTATGTGCGATAATCAAACGAAGAAATAATCATATTTCATACTTATAATAGATAGTATACAATCAACTCGAATTGATTGGAATAAATACAAGTTGAAATGAATAGAATATGTCGTAAGACTTCAGCATAGTTAATAAAATATAATTTGTTTCGATAGATAATTGAACAAATAAGTATCTAGAGAACATGAGGACAATATTGAAGATGATGTACTCGAAATGGTAGACAACTTTTTGAGAAAATTAACAGAGTTCTAAGAGATTTTTTCAAATAAGATTACTGAACTATTTTCACTAAACTTTTCAAAAGACTGTTTTTTCATCAATACAAAAGAGTGTTCAATTACAGCTCTGCATCAAAATATGTATTCTTCTTTGAATAAGTCTGAAGCGATACTTAAATACAGTAGTTACTAGTATTTATTCACTGTCGTTTCTAACAATTGTATTTCTCAATCTAATCACTGTATTTTTTATTTGTTTCTATATAAAATGTGCACATATTTTGTGTAATTCCTTCCCTGAATTTCTCTGAAAGAGGAAGAACAAGGAGTGAACGTTAGAAGCCTGCGGGACCGAAAATGTTTGGTCTCGGTCCCGTGAAGAAAAAACATTTTGGTCCCGTCCCGATTCCGTGGTCCCGTAAATACTTTTTTAAAGTAGCGTTGATAGTTTGAAAGTCAGCGCGTTGAAATGTGGCTCGTGGAACACCATGGGTTGGTGGTATTAATTGAAGACTTTTTGAATTGTCTGAAAATTTTCGCAGAACTGGTGCCTATATACAAACAAGAACAGAAACTAAGAAATTTTTATGCTCCATATTTTCAAAATAAACAGGTCCCGGTCGCATTAAAAGTCCTGCGGGATCGGGACCATCCCGCTGGACTGGAACCGTCCAGCAGATTTCTAGGTCGCGGTCCCGTAAAAAGTCACGCGGGACCGAGATTGGGACCGTCCCGCAGACCTCTAGTGAACGTTTGTACAGAGAGAAATTGCTTGAAATCTGAAAATTTTATCCTAACGCGTACAAGCTAACGGCGAACCTTAATAAAATTAAAACAAATTAATGTAATCGTACACAATCGGGGCATGGATTTCATCCAGCCCCACTTTAGTCCATCACGTTTGATTGAAGGAGTTACACTTTAGACCCAAGGTCTGCACTGATAAGCTTTTTTATTTGTTTCTATATAAAATGTGCACAAATCTATAAAAAGAAGTTTATAACAATAAAAATGACGAGATTATTTTTACAAAGCTAGAATAAATTACAATTAGAAAAATATAAGCATAACATTAATACAACTAGAAAATGTTGTAAGAACATAACGAAATAATAATATATCAGTCTGATTCTCATTTTATATATCATTCAACATTAATAATTAAGTTCCTACATTGCTCAATAAGTATCCCTAGTAAAAAAATGTTAGATAGCTCTTAAAACTAGCTTAGTAAGATTTTGATGAGATGATCTTAATTAAGATCTGAATAAGATTTTACGCTTTTATTTTCATTCATCCTTTTATTTTGCTTTCATACATTTATATAAGTAACAAAAATTTAATTGAGTTTTTAAAATGTCATTTTTCTTCCCGACTTTGCTTGTAGTTACTCTCTCGTAAGTGTTCAACTTGTAAGAAAATGTACACTGCAAGTTAACATTCAGGAGTGAACGTCTAAAAATATGAAATTTCTTTTCGTTCTGTTCGTCTGCAATGTTTAACAATGCAGAACAGACGATTCAAACGAGAACTCGGCTCTGTAAACGAAATTTTTCAGCATTTAAACAACATATTCAAAAATACGTAGTGAATCATGAATGAATTTTATTAAAAAATGTAATTATTCTTAGTAAAGATCTCACCAAGATTTTAGAAAAATGTTATCAAAATCTTAGAATTTTTGGGTCTCACAACCTTAAAAAGATTTGTCTTAAGATCTCAGGAAAATGTATGCGCAATCTTACTAAGATCTTAATAAGATTCGAGTAAGTTTTTCACTTAGTTATTGAAGTTTTAATTCGTGTAATGTTGTGTGCAATGCTAATCTGAGGGATTTATTAATACATTGTTGTCTAATCTTGAAATGCATAAAAATGTTCGTGTATATCGTAGAACGTTTTTATTGTTGTACTTACTATTACGTACTTAATCTCATCATTTTTTTTCAAGTTACGTATTATAAAATCGAACTCTCATAAAAAATTTATGTTTTTCCAAGAAAAATTTGGAAAAAATTTTGTACGGCATAAATTATTATCGATATCACACAGTCTTCGTAGAGTCGTATGAGGTAATTCTGACCACTCACACAAAGTTTCTTAGTATTTTGTGTATTTCTAAGGCGTTTTTAATCGGATAAGTGTGCTATTGAATATGAAGATAGAACTAACAGTTCTCTATCTGCTGATGTAAAAATCTTCTAAAAATCCCTCTCCGTTTTGGACCAGTATTCAAAAGGAGACAGGGACCTTCAAACCGGCCGAAATTGTCCCATATTCCGGCCGATAACCTATTTTGTGTGAAATAATTCCGGCTGGTCCATTCAAATACATGGAGTTTTCTGAAACAAACCTCTGCTAATTAACGATAAGTCCTAATCAGGTAGAAATTACACCAGTTTGAAGCTCTTCTTCTCTTCTATCTGTCATACCAATTTGAGATTATTAGCATCTATTCTAATGAAGTTAATTAAAATATAATAAGACGGGGTTAGATTTCTGATCTTTTCCATTTTTGTCGATTGGGGTAATTCCGGCCTGTCAGCTATGTTTCTTGGTGTAATTTCGGTCAATCCATTCAAACACATGGAGTTTCCTGAAACAAACATCTGGTACTTTTCGGAAGTAGATCTTTGACATACTCTTCAGATAAAAGGTATTCGTCATGTCATGACCTACAACATATGTGAAAATTGCATCTCAATAGCTCAAAATCAGCAGACTGTATGATCTTAAATATTTTGATGTAATTTTACACATATTGTGGTAATAAATTTACACA